GTATAATGCATTTGTATATTTATATTATTTTGCATATATTGTAAAAGAAAAAGATATAAATACTCTTGTAATTTTTATTTTTAATTTAAAATTTTATTAATGATATCAAAGCAGAATAATTATTAATTTACAATAATTGTAATAATTTAACAATAATTAAAGTTTTTTTTCTTTCAATTTATAATTGTTTGACATTAAATATGATGTTTAAAAGAAAAAAATTCTATTAGATCGTTACCGCAATTACTAGTAAGTTATTGTATGTAAAATATGGAAAGCTATTATTAAAGAATATATATAACTTTAACAAAAAAATATTTAAATATAATTTTTAAACATGTAATCTCCAAAAATAGACATAGTTACTTCATATTATAAATTCGTCTAGTCTTTGACTTTCGTTTTTTAAAATTAATGATACAAATTCATTCGATATAATTAAAAATCACATTTTTACATTTTTACAAAAAATTAAAAATTGTATAAACTTTTTAACTGCAATTAGTTGCGATACGCGATAGAAATATCGTCGTCCAAAGTATCGTTTGTCCAAAGAAGTGCATAACATTATCATTAATTACAGTACATTCGGAAATACTGGCCATAATTGCAGCGTGATTTCAGATCGTAAGATCGAGAGGGAGGAAGGAAAGGGGGGGAAAGAAGAATCGGTTCGCTCCGGTCTGAACCAGATTTAATTCGCATGTCTACGACCTCCGGCGCGGCTCTATTCACCTGCGCCTGGGTGTTGTGTGGAAAACGCGATTCTCTCCCGCAGATCGCGGGATCGCGCGGATAGGTAACGTCATAGGGAGATGCGAGATTGCGCGCAGAGCGCGTGCGAAGCGACGTGTGCGAAGCGAAAGTCGATCCTTGCACGCGAGTCAGAAATGCTGTTCTCGACGGACGCGGCTCGATTAGGGTCGGTCAGCCGACGTGCTCGTCGATCGGAAAGACTATGATCGGATTAGATCGCGCGGAATTAATGAGAAACACCATGAGGACACCAGAAAACGAACCGTTCTCCGTAATAATAACGAGGAACGCGGCTGCGAGAATATGGGGATTGCAAGACGCGTGTGCAAGACTCGTCGTTCGATGAGTGTGAAAATTCACCGTCGATTCGAATCGTCACCGTTTAAGCCGTTTAAGACGCACGTTGCGAGATGGGTTGTAGACCATCGATGTGATCTACAACTGCCAGTCTTCCCGAGTTACATCTTCCGCGATGTAACGACGCCGCGTAATTAATCGATTACGTAACCGAGCCAGCTGTGATCCACTTTTTTTTTTTTTTTCGTTTTAAAGGGAAGGCAAATATTATTTCGTATATTATTACTTTGTATATTAAGTAACACAATTACATGGGCGAGATCTTTAATTGCGATCAACGTAATTACGCCTATCTTCACTCTTGTGAAACCGATTCTCGAGAGGGGGGGACTTATTTCGATTGTATTCAATAATAATTTTATATAACCGACGCGTAAAACAGCATCTATAACATATATAAATAAAAATCTCAGCCTATTTTTTTTAACCCGCCGATTCCTTAGAGTGGGAAAAGCGGGGGAGTATCGCAGGGTGATTCACGCGCGTCACAGCCATACGGTCGTTAATTTCGATTCATAAGCCGATATCGGAGGATACCAGGCATTTCTTCCCAGAGTAGTTCCCATAGCCGAGAGAAACGTTGGGAAATAATTGATATATAGTAGCGGTTGTAAGACGAGCGTATCAGATTAGATCGTATAGAATTAACAGGAGCGGCATGCTCGCCGTTCGCCGTTCGCCGGAAAAATAAAGCAGTAAGAGGATGCGTGCAACGTTTTTACGTTGCTTGGTGCTTACGTTTCAGTCTTTTACCGTCGCGTCATCTCCGACAGGAGATTCGTTCGCCTTCGCGAGTACTTGGACTAATTATTATTTTACCGATTACCCGGTCTATCCAATAATGCGCTGCATTTAACGTACCGAATCAAAACTTCTGGTCTCCAATTAATCGCGACTTTGATTTCATTTTCCTTTCGTCATCACGGAATGCCAAGAAACATTCCGCACAGGAACATTCGCAATAAACTCATACGTAATCTTACGTAACGAGGGTAGAGAGGGGGAATTGCTTTGCAATATATCTATCTTAAAATATGTACGTCCCGGTCACATATCCTTACTGCTAATAAACTTGTTATGTATAATCGATTTTACGAACAAATCGTGGGAATACAAAGTTGTTAAGTATAATATTCCCAATTATTTAGACGCGACGCGCGCGACGTCTAAATGTAAATTAATTAAAAAAAACGTAATACGATATAAAGAACGACATAAAAAGAAAAGGAGGATAGAATAAATTTTTGTTTGTGTAACCATTAATTTTTTATGTGTGTGGATCAAATTATATTTTTCACTCTTCAGATGAAAAGGACCATATCAATTAACCAAGAAGAAATATAATCAGTAAGAAGAAAAAATATTTCTATATATTAGTTTCAATTTTTAGGAATACAACGATATATCATAATAACAACGATATATCATAATACGATAATAAGTACAAGAGATATCATATTATTACTCTTTTTACATCGTATGAATTTGATAGAGGGTAAACTCCGCACCTTTTCCTTCCACCAGGTGCCTTCCTTCGCGTTTCACGCGTGAAAACGTGAAACGTTTCGCTTTTCCGGGTCTGCATACTTTCGTGACGTTATCTGTAGCTTTTGTCCCTATTTGCATACGTTAGAATAAGTTACTGCTCTCGTATATACGCAAGAGAGTAGACGCTGTAGGCGGCATTCCACTTTTCCAAGCATCGTTGCATTATGCTCTCCGCCTCGCGTGAGATTTACATAACTGTAATAAATGTACCGCTGTCTCTGTCTGGGAAGGGTTAATGTAATTTAATTATCTAACACCGCGGATTGCGTTTGAGAGTGCGTAATTCAAATGGACTTTCGCAGAGGCACGTCGCGCATCGACGGTTCTTGTCCTAGAAGCGCGCGAATAATGACTGCATTGATTTTGCATCTTTCGCTTTCCAGCAAAAGTTATCATAAGTCCGTATATAATATAATATTATGCGTGGCATCTAAAAATTTAATAAATTATCAAACTCTTTTAGCTTGATGGATAGTCAATTGCTTCAATGAGAAATATTTTGATAATTCTAGAACATTTGATAACTGTTTTAATCATAAAAAGACAAATATTATTGGAGGAATGTTATCAGGGGAACATAAATAAGAACAAATTTAATATTATTTAAAAAAAAGAAAAAAAGAAAAGAAAGCTAATATATTATAGAAAATATTTTAAAATAATATTTTATCTTTTATGAATGTATTAAAATATATTTTTTAATGAAATATATTTGAATAGTATGATAATATCATCAGGGTTTACCATCAAGAAAATTGAAAGAATGAAGACTTCGCATGCAACTGGTTTTCATATGTGAAATTGCTTGTAGTCATATATTTCGCTGACACATTTAATACTACTTTTTATAAAGTAGAGGGATGTAAAAAATGATAATAATAAAACATCACATTATTTTCGTGACTGGTTCCATGTTTCGTTATGCTTTCATTCCTCTTGTGACCGTAGAAAATTATAAGGAAATGTTCCTTTTTATTACTGCAATTGTTATTTTCTTCATAGCAATCTCACTGATGCGAAGGTTATGCCTCTTATGGGTTAAAATCGCAATTGTTCAAACGATAAAAATATTATTAAAAATAGAAAACCTAGTTGATATTACTTATCATCGAGATCTATCTATCTTACTTTTATTCAAAACCTACTTTCTCAATAAAATACGTTGCTTACAAATAATCGCGTACTGTTAGCTGCGTTTTACCGTTTACCTATTGCGATATTTAATAACGTGCTAAATGTGTGCGCTTTATAGACAGTCCCCGGCCATTAAAATACACGATAAATTAAAAGCCGCAAAAGAAAGATGAGATGCCGTAAGACCGTATCGTATAACATCGCAAGATCCTAACGATTCGCAATCACGATTGCGTCTGAAATTGCAATGATCCGGCTTTAGAGGAGAAACACGCAGAATCCGACGTCACGAAAAGAGATTTTTCGTGGAAGGGAAGAATTATTATTCGGGTCGCGATCGCGGGGGAATGCCAAGGTTTTCATTTCCCCTCGCGCTTATTTATAGCTCCTGGATACGTGCGTTCCATCTTCTCCATGACATTGTGAGTTCCCATTTCTGCACGCAGGTGATCGAATTTTGATGTTGTAACCTCGCGATTTTGCAACAGGTAACAGGCGTATTTCATA